TCTGTAAGTCGAGGGTCCACTGTATTTTTTTTCCTGGTGTGTTTCTAATGCTTGAGTGCTGTCTTTCCGAAATGAATGGAAGACTCTACCTTTATAAGCGACGTTTTGCCAGCTCTGCCTCTTAAGCGCTAAAATATTTACACTGATTGGCTTATTCGTTATCTGGTTTTTATCAGTATCCAATTTTTTTCAGTAGAATCCTGGCACCTTCTGCGTGTTGGACTGTAGTTCTTGTTATCCTCAACATCAGGACCATTGATTTTGTGTGTGTAAGTTGTAGTCCAGCCCATTTGGAAGCTGCCAAGATTATGAAGGCTCGTGAGTAGGAACCGTATAGAGCAGCTCTTCCCAGCCTTTATGGGTGTTCTTGAACTGCAATTCTCAGAAATCTTGGCCAGCACAGCAAGTGGTGAAGGTTTTTTTGGAATTGCAGCCCATGAACATCTGGGGACCCCCAGTTTGAGAACCACTGGTCTAAACCACCAGTAAGAAGCATAGTGCCTAAATACAGAAGGCCATTTTCTTAGCTCTTAGCTCACCCTTCCTTAAAGGCAGCAAGTTTCAGAATGAATGGTGTGGAGGTGGTAGAATATGGTTATTTTTATGTGTGTTCTTAATCCTCTGGATTTGATGATGCAGTTCTCCAAACAAAATACACATATTGGGAAAATGTGTGCACGGAAATTGTGTTTTTAGCTGTTGGTCTTGTCTTTGAACGACGCGAGTCGCCTTGGGCCCTTCTCCAGGTGAAAGGCGGGGTAGAAAGTTTTCGGTGAATACAAAGGCATATATTGGGGGAAGAAACATGCACAGAGGGATCTGTAGGGAGAAATGGCTTGAGGGAGTTTCACAGTACTGTGTTAGGTGAAGAAAAATTAAAAATGCATGCACTTTTATATGTCAGCAAAAATTAAAAATGCACGCACATTGATTTGTCAGGTTGCGAACAACGAGAAGTGAAAGTGAGATAGAACAAGCGGAAGCTGGGTGGGGGGAAAGGAAGAACTAAAATGGCATTCCCCCCCCCAAAAAAAGCCGTGCTGAGCATTAGCTTAAGCGGGTTGCAGTGTCCCAAAGGCTCCGGTGTCATTTGGAAAAAGACCCCAACCTATTCACGAAGTGGCAAGGAAACTTAAGCATCTCTGTTGTGCGTCTGCATGCTTTGTTGCGCTTTCTGATGGAGTGAGTGAATAAATCTCTTTCTCCTCCACAGGGCCAGGCTAGCCTCTCTGTTCGGACGGGATCAGACCCCGACGGGAAGCGGGAATGAGTTTTTCCAGTACACGGCGCCCAAGCAGCCTAAGAAAGGCCAGCCGGCTGCTGGTAAGGAGCTCTTCGCCATGCCCTCGTGGGCTGGGGGTCAGCAAAAGAAAAAGATATATATCTCCAGTCCTCATTTTGGGGGCGGGGAAGGGGGATGATGAAATGCAGGCTTAGTTCTCGCCCCTTCTGCCATGAGTTACAATGCCAGCCAAGTCAGCGTGTGTGCTTGGGAGGAAGGGAAAAGAGCATCTCCCTGTCTCCGGTTAAAGAAAACAAACTTTTTCAAATCACAGTACAAACTCCTTATCCTCAAAGTCAGTATCCGCTGATTCACATCCACCGTCTGAAAATATTAAAAATAGAATTAAAAGGTCCTAGAAATAGATGCCTAAAGCTGAAGTTACCAGAACTGGCCACTAGAGGGAGGCAGAGACCGCACCGTGTTTAGCATTTGCTATTAAATTAACATTTCCTATTATCCGCGTTTTTTCAGCATCCGCAGGGGGAGGGCTTGGAGCCGATCTCCCGTGGGTGTGGGCATCCTGCTGTAATTGGAGAGACGGTGGAAGACAAGACTTCTTCCGCTAGAAGAAGACAGATCGGAGGCAGTCTTGTCCTGCCTCCGGAAGCTAGCCAGATCCGCTTCGCTTA